AAACCTGCAGGACACCCGCCCTCGAGGCCTGGAGTTTGACACCTGTGACCTATTGTGACAAGTCAAAGCTAAAGGGTAGCCAGAGTCCTGACAGGCCGCTGGCCAGGACCTTGGCTGCTACCTGACCCTGCAGCTGTGTTTGGCTGGAGGACAGGTGGGAAAGTTATCCAGCAGCAAGTGGCGTTGATACAGATGACACTCCAGCACTTTTTTTTACTACTGCTACTTCTCCATCTCTGTGTTACTCTGCTGTCTGTGCTTAAGGCTGTACACCCCGGGGTTTTGCTTTGCTTGCTTTCTGCTATGTAACTCTCTTGCTACATGTATGCATGTAGTTTTCCTGCTGTTCATATGATTCAGTGTAGTAAACTCTGTTCCAAGAATTCTAGTCTTTTTGAGTGCCTTGATTTTAATCGGATCTAATAAAGTTGGATCTCGACATCGTTGGTGGGAGAAGGTTATCAGGATGGCTAAAAAATTGTGACCATAAGATACATACTGAAGACATGAAATATATGAAGCAATATATATGAAATCATGTAGGAAAAGACTATTGTCCTGCTAAACTACTTATCACTGTCTCCTTCTGTCCTCTTTTTTTCTCATCAGAGCCCATAACTAAACAGCCTGTCATAAAAATCAATTCTACCTGGATTTCCTCCAATGAATCATGTAAAGTTCTGCTGGAGTGCAGCACAACTGCTGATGTCAGCTACAAGTGGACTGTAGGAAACCAAACACTAACTGGTCACAGACAACAATACATCATCAGGCAGGATGGAGAGACCAATGTCACCTGCACAGTTTCCAATCATGTCAGTGAGAAGTCTGCATTTCAAACTGTGAAGTGCAGCAACAGTGAACAACAAGATCCAGGTAAGTGCAGTGTAGATATTTACTCTTTCTTTCTTTTGATGTTTCTTTAAAAGCTTATAATAAAGATCAGCAATGATGTGGTAGAAACTGTGGAAGAGAGCTGATGTATTTATATTATGCTGATGATATGCTGATATTTTTTATTTAATTATGGGCTGTTGTTAACGAAGAATGTGATCATTTTCAGAAAAACACATTTTCCTTTTCCTGGGTGCAGCTGGTGGCTGTTTGATACTTGTCATTATATCCAGTGCAGCTCTGGGTGTTTGTCTCTGCAATAAAAGACATGCAGGTAAGAAACTCTGAACTATGATTACTGTTTATTATTGCAGTGTTAAGTTCTTCTTCTCTTATCATGTTCATTAGTAAAATGTGTTTTTAATATACAAATGCAAATAATATGCAAAATTATTATTTATCTATTTTTTTTACAGATCTGTGTTGCAACAGGTTAGTGCAACTAATTAACAGCAGTAATGTACAAAAATACTTTTGTTCTACTGATAATAACATGCTTTTATTGCATGAATATTAATGTATTTGAATAATTTCAGGCTCAGACAGTCTGAAACTATCAACCAGGAGGAAAGTCAGCAACATGTGTACTCGGCTCTTTCCCACGGTCAGGTCTAACACTGTTTAACCAGTCACATTACAGTGTTAAAGAATGATGAAAATGTTAGACCCTTTACACTTTATTATGATTTTTGACTCAACTGTTGCTAACTTGCAGGTGATCTTTGTGTTTATGAGACAATGAGAGGCCGTGAAGATGCTGGACCAGGTACAGTATGACAATGATATGATATGAGGTGATATGAGGTTCTGCAGTACTTGTCACGGCTGTCGAGGCGAGCCATGTGGAATTATTTAAGGTCCCAAAACGCAGGTACTTCTGAAGTGAGGAGACTTTATTAAGGGAGGTGGAACAAATACACAAGGCAGGGGAGGAAAGAAACAGAACGGAGAAACTAAACTGGGAAAACTAAAAAGCAAACCTGAAGTGATAACC